CAGCCTCCGGGCTTCACCAAACTTCGTTCTGAGGGGCGGAAAATACAGCCCAATAGGGTTTTTTCAGAAGTCCTCAGTGTGTTGCAGGCTAGGAATTAGACATGTCGGTGATTCTAGGGCTGTTAGGGGGCAAAAAACACAAGACGTCCAGTTACATTTGCATTTCAGATAAATAACCAATAAGATTTTCAGTATAAGTATATCCCATGCAACATATGGGACATGCTTATACTGAACTTTTATTCATTGTTTATTTGAAATGCAAATTTAACTGGACACCCTGCATTTTTATATGACAAACCTGACAACCCTCGAGGTCTCCAATCTGAGGCAGGAGAGAGGACCCCCTCTCCTCTTACACACACACACACACACACACACACACACACACACACACACCCCAGACACGGAAACGCAGGTAAACATCTCAGCATGTTCATGCTGGTGCTCAGGAGAGCGGTGGTGGGCCGCAGGGGAGTCCTGGGGCGCCAGCTCGCTGCAGTTTAAAATTCCTTCCAGGCCAGATCCCTAATCCCTCCGCGCACAATGGCCGCCTTCTGCCCCGCCGCCCGCCCCACGCCCTCCCCCCGCGGGGCCGTGGCAGTGCCACCACGGGCCTCTTTAAGCCCCTTTGAAGCCGCCAGAGCCTCGCGCCGCGGGAGGCCCCGCCGCTATGCCAGCTATGCCAGCTATGTCCCCGCCGCCGCCGGCCACCACCGCTCCCCCATTAATGTTGGCTAATCTGGCTAATAAATAAACCCCCACCCCCACCCCCACCCCCACCCCCAGCCTCAGCCCCTGCAGGCTCCTCCCTGCTCCTCCAGCACTGATTTCAGGGCTCGGTGAGGACATGCGTCCCCTCCCTCCTGATGTCCCTGCCTTCTTTCCCTAGGGCTGGCCTCGGTCTGTTGCGGGTCTCTGACGGGATCGGGGAGGGGCGCTCTGCCCCGCGCGTTATGTCTGCACCGCTCAGTCCACCTGCGCGCCAGGGAGTAGGCCACGCGGCTGGGGGCCGGGGACCAGACTCCAGGCCGGGGGAGACCCGCTGGGCGCCGGAGCGCCCCCTGGAGGCGGGAGCAGGCACGGGCCACGCCCCTTCTGGCCACGCCCCCTCCGCCCGTGGAAGTCGGGGTTTGGCGGGGAGGCCCGGGACAGGTGGCTCCACGCCACGGGAAGGCGCTGGCGGCTCCTGCGACAGGAACCCCTTCCTCGCAGCCTCTGCCGCCCCCTCCGTCCCCACCCGGCCTTCCAGAGTCTGACTCAGAGCCGAGCTCTCTCGCTTCACCTCCTGCCACACACCCCGAGCACAGCGCGGGGAGAAATTACAGGATCGCAGGGGCACGGCTAATGCGCTCTAATTACCCACCGCCACTCTCATCCCAGGCCAACGCGCGGCAATTAGGCCGCCCCTCCCTGGTCCCGGAACTGTCCCCGGGCCCAGGAGCCCTCGCAGCCGCCGCCTCCTGCCGGCCTCCGGGACTGCCCCCTGGTCCCCACTAGGGCAGGTGATTGGGGAGATGCGCGATTCAGGGAGACAGGCCCGGGGCCTAAAGGTGTGGCAGCCGCCCTCTCCCCTCCCATAAGCCTACCGTTGTTGGGAATTCTGCTAGAAGGATCTGGGAGAGTGGGAAGGGGGCACGGACCCATTTCGTTGACATGAACACTGAGGCCTATTGGAAAGTTAACTGTCAGGGGGATGGGTGGGGAGGGCACCAGGGCAACAGTGTCTCCATTTTGCACAGGAGGCACAGAAAAGCACAGCCTCGAGGGAAGGCCACCCAGCCAGAACTTCCGGGTCAGCACACTTCGAGGTGGTTTTATGACTGTCCCAAAGGCTCCTTCCCCTGGCAGGGGAAAGTGATACCCCCCCTCAGAGGCCTGAAGCCCTGGGCAGCCGACCATCTGTGGCCTGTTGCTCACAGGGAGCTCCTAGGGGCCCTGAAGACAGTGGCGGGGGCTCAGGGGGAGCAACTTCGCTGTCAGCTTCTTTATCCAAACCAGGCTCAGCCCTCTCCTTTCTCAGAAACTCCTTCCTCATGTCCAGGGGGTTGCACACTCGTGGCCTTGGCCACGTTTAATCTTCAGTGAGGTTTGGCCTGCAGTGAATGTGCGGTTTCCTATTGAATGTGAGAGAACTACAGACAGTTGCAGGCTTTCCGGCTGCCTCCTTGTTGGAAAGGTCAGAGGCCAGGCTCGTCCCCAAAGGCGTTGGGGTTTAAAACCCCTGATTTAGGACAGCCTGCTCGGCCTGTGCTTGTGCCCTTTTCCTCGTGGCTGGGGCCTCGGACTGCACCACTGCCACCCTTTGGCACGGTTGCATGTTCTCAGTAAACGATGCCGCGGTGAGTATTCCCGGGAGCCTCTCTTCAGGGGCAGTGGCGGCTGCACATGCTTCTGGATGCCCCCCTGGTACCTTCTTTGTCATCTTGAGTTTCCGTCTGTCCCTGGGGTATGCACCATGCCTTCTCCAGCAAGGCGACAGCTTGTCTTCTGTCCTCAGACCAGAGGTTCCTTGAGGGCAAGATACTGGAATTCTCCCTTCAGACTGAGATCTCACCGAGAGCTGGGGAAGTGGGGGGTGGGGGGAGTAGCCTCCATCCCAGGGAGCTTTGGGGGCAGGACTGTGTCTTCCCCTCAGGCTGGGGCTCCCCGGAGGCACAGGATTCTCCCCACCCCACTTCTCTGGCTCCTCTTGGTGCCCAGGCATTCCTCCCAGGACACTGTTTGTCACGCTTTGATGAATGAACGCTCCTAAGAATAACTCGGTCCTGCAGTCCCTGAAGGACAGGGCTGTGGGGAGGAGGGGTGTGACTATGGAGGGGTTGGGAGGAGATGGGACATCCATTCATTCAGGAGCATTTTCCCAGGTGCCCCACTGGACACTCTGAGAAGCACAGAGAGTGCCACAGAGCCCCCTACGGTGTCATTTTGTCTGGGGTGGGATGTCCACAGGACCCCTGAGACAGAAGTACCAACCCCCTTCTTCACAGCCTTTCTACCCCAGAAGTCACCACCTCAGAGTCCCCCAGCCCTGTCCATGCCTGGACACCAGCCCCCTCTGCTCCCGGTGGGACAGGGGCTGCAGGGGGGGAGAGCCTGTGGAGCCCTGCTTCCGGTGAGAACTGCCAGGGTGGCCAGGGAGGAATGTAAAAGCGGTCAGACTGGCTGCAGGGCATTTGCTGCTGTAGTTGGGGCAGGGGTATGAGTGCCCCACTCTTCCTCTCTCGTCCTGCCCTTCCCACTCCCAAACCTCAAGCCTCCAGTTAAGAGCTGAGCGACCTTCCCAATGCAGCATTCTCTCCGGCACTTCACGGGGCAACAGGGCGGGAGGCTGTGACCTTAACCTGCTGCTCTGATGGGGCCATCCTGGCACTCCGCCCCCACCTGCCACCTCCTGAGAGGGACATTTCAGCCGCAGCTTGGCAAAAACATCCGCCTGTGAGCCAGGTGGCCTGGGCTGGTACCAGCTCTGCTGCTGACCTCTCTGTGACTTTGAGAAGCCGTTTGCTCCCCTGAACCTCAGTTTCCCCATATGTACTAGTAAAATGAGGTTTGTCTAGTTTTCATGGTTTTCAAACCTTTTAAAAAACGAATGGCTCCTTTTGTTTACATAGTAACTTATGTGGAGTCTCCACTGGTAACTGCTGTAGTTGGGGCAGGGGTATGAGTGCCCCACTCTTCCTCTCTCATCCTGCCCTTCCCACTCCAAAACCTCAAGCCTCCAGTTAAGAGCTGAGCCACCTTCCCAATGCAGCATTCCCAATGCAGAAAAACGTTGGGGTTCTATGCTCCAAATATGAGGGGCGGCCCAGAGCCCCCGTATTTAGTTCACTGGACACACTCACACATGTATGCTCACACACATGTGCACACACACACACGTGCACACAGCGCAGCTCCAGGGCACTCTGCAGTGCATACTTCACAAACCTCAGAACCCTGAAATCCTTCCCTGTGCAGACATTCTGGGGCCCTGCCAGCGCTGGGAGCTCTAGAACTGGGGGTGCTAACAGCTCTGAGAATGGAGCATGATTGTGGGCCACCCAGGTCTAGGGCGCAGGGCAGGGCTGAGGGGTAACAGGGTGGGGGGGGGCTTGAACTGGTAGAGGGAGTCCTTTCAGCACTGGGTAACCCTGCTGAGATTGGGCAGGGGTCACCAAGCAAAAAGGTGCTGGCCCCGCAGAGACCATTGTTCCCAATTCCCTCAGGGAACACGGGTGGGAGCACAGGAGTCTCCCACGTCTTCACCTCCCTGAGATGCACAATGAGTGGGGGGGGGGGAGCTACCTCACCACCCTCTGCCCAAACACACACACACTCTGGAATTTGTGCCCTAGAGACGTCACAGCCGTGGCCCTGGGAACTCCTGGGTGGCGGCTCTGTGCCAAGCCCGGCTCCGGACATGGGCCCCAGAGATGGAGTCAGCCTTGGTCCCTGCCCTCATGGCATTGGCTTTCTGGAGGGAAAGACAGATGATCAAGGAAGAAAGAATAAAGCTCAGTCTGTGATAAGACAGCTCTCAGGGTGGAGGGTGTTGGGGTGGGTGGGCTATCTTAGATGGGGTTCTCAAAAAATGTCTTTGTGAGGAGGTAGCATTTGGGCGGAGACCTGGGCTACTAGAAGCCAGTCCTGCTTGGGGGCCAAAGGACTCCAAAAATGTACAGCATTTTTAAACAGAGAGGAGCGTGTATTCGTCAACACGCAAGGGCAGGGAAGCGAGAATGTTTCTGGATCATCTGTTGTATGTCCAGCGCAGCGATAGGAAATGCTCTTGCATCCTCCCCCAAGGTCCTCTCAGCATCCGGTTGTCACAGAGTATTATTTTCATTCCACAGATAAGAAGTGTGGCGCCCACAGAGGTTATTGTTTCATTCACTTAATAAGACATATTGAATTTTAGCCTCTGAAACACCAATAAATCCCCCAAGGGCCCTGCCCTCTTGGATCCTACAATCTGAGAGCACAGGGGAGGATCAGGGAGGGCCGCCTGGGGGAGTCCACGGCTACACTGAATCTGAAAGGGATGGGGAGGGGGGGCGCCTGGTGGGGTGCCCCACCTTTTCCGGCCTCTCTTGGGTTGGGTCTCACTTGGATTTGCTCTACCTGCCACCTTGCCCTGACCTCATGAGGACACTTACCTACCAGACAGCTCACAGTTTCCTCCACATCGTTCTGTCTGCAGTGTCTCTCTCACTGCACTGTAAGCACTGTGAGATCCAGGGGTACGCACTGCTGCTTGCTATTGTTTACCCAGGGCCTTGCACACAATAGAAGCTCAATAAATGTCTACAGAGGAGGAGAGAAAGAGTGAGCAGGAGAGAAAGAGTGAGCAGGAGAGAAAGGGCGAGGAGGAGAGAAAGAGGGAGGAGGAAGGGAGGGGTGTTGAGTGTGCCTTGAACACTCTGAGGGCTGCCGTATAAAGGAGGATTAGCCTTAGCCGGTTTGGCTCAGTGAATAGAGCGTCAGCCTGTGGACTAAAGGATCCCGGGTTGGATTCTGGTCAAGGGCACATGCCCGGGTTGTGAGCTCGATCCCCAGTGGGGAGCGTGCAGGAGGCAGCTGATCAATGATTCTCTCTCATGGTTGATGTTTCTATCTCTCTCTCCCTTCCTCTCTGAAATCAATTTTTAAAAATGAAATAAAATAAAGGAGGATTAAACTGGTTCTTCAGCGGCAGAACCATCAGAAGGGAGAGGGAAAGAGAGAAAACATCAACCCGGGCATGTGCCTTGACCTGGAATCGAACCGGCAACCCCTCGGTACATGGACTGATGCTCAACAACTGAGCCACGGTTAGGCAACGGTTAGGTTTTCAAAGTCAGATGGTCACAGCTGCTCAGAAGACTGAGCTTCTCAGGGTGAGTTTAAGCAGAACCAAGAGGAACACTTCTTAGAAGTGCTGTTATTTGAATGAATGAAGGAACCAATGAATAATAAATGAAGGGAGGGAAGGAAGGAGAGGGGAAGGAGAGAGCGACAGGAAAGCATCCATGCATTGCTAATCCATCCAGCGACACCAGAGACAAGGAGAGAGGTGTCTTGGGAGCAACTCAGTCCTGACTCCCCTCCCAGCTTCCCAAAGGGCTCACTTTCGGAACCGCCTTTGGGCCCCTTTCCCAGAGGGTAACCCCCTCAGCAGAAGTCTGTCCTGAGGTCAATGCCTCTCTGAGCATTTTCTCTTCAGGTTGAGGCTGGGAAGGAGGAGCTTGGCCATGGCTTGGTCTGCAGAGGCTGGGGATGGGCAGGCAGCAAGTGCCCTGGCTCGGGACCCCCCATTCTTCCCGTCCTCATGAGCTTCCTGAAAGCGGGGATTGTGTCTTAACCAGCCTCTATTCCCGCCCGCCCCCCCCCCCCCAACCTGGCATCCAGGAGGTGCCCAGCGTGTGAGGTGAGCCCGCAGGGGCCAGGAGTGGCAGAGGGGAGGGAGAAAGGGGTGCTCTGCTCAGGAAAACGGAAATGGAACGCCTTCCTGGGGACTAGACAGGGGCTGGGAAGAGCAC